CTTTCAGAGGGCAGCGACAGCTTCCTCGAGCTCGAAAGTCATATACAATCTTCGGGACAAGTTGTCGCTAATCAACAAGTTGAAATAGCTGATCTGCAATCGCTCTGTCGTATGTTAAGCAGGGTAAGAAAATCATATCTACCAGCAGTTTCTATTATAATACAAAAATTATTTCTGTAATTTTTCCTGTCAAGGAAATATCTTTTTATAATTTTATATTTTTGTTGAAGGATTTGGACAAAAGTGTAGCTGCGCAGAAAGCCTTGCTACAACAGCAACAAGAATTGGAAGCCGAATCAGCCGAGATGCAAGATTTTCTCCAAGAGGAGAAAGCCACATTGGCGGAGGCGCTCAAAGATGCCGAATTGGAGGTGCGTAGTTTTCTAAGTTCCCTTCTTGAAGTATGTACCGTTTGTTTCATATTCGTTTTGTCTTTTGTAGCTCAAGAAAAAAAGCGAAGCCTTAACTCAAAGAGAGACGGAATTAGAGAGACAAATGGAGGAGTGTAAACATTTAGTGCGAATTAGCGAACAAAGAAGGTATGCCTCACGAAAACTTTTGACAATATTTCTCCTAAACATTATAAATTATATTTCAACAATTAATTATCCGTTTTTAGGCAAGAGAATTTATCAATGAGTCTAAAGTTGAATGCCGTTGAACGAAGAAGTAGGGAACTTTTACTCACTCAAGGCGCTGCTATGTCCGGAGCGGCTGTAGCTCTTTCCGGACTTAGCACCAGATTAGAAGGATTGATAGATCAATTAATTGCTTCTTATAACATCTCAGTAAAAGATCTTGAAGTAAGTATAATGATGAAAGTCCTCTTTTGCGTACAAAGTGGTTTATATTCTTATAATAGCTATTTTGTGAACAGTTATAACATGCTACCTTTTATAAATAAATATAATAGACAAATAACGATCATAATAGATGGAGGATTAATATTCTATTTTTACTATTTTTCTCTGCTAACTTCCTTTCTAAATTTAATAATTAAAAATTTATATTGATTATTGTTAGACAGTTTAAATGCATTGTAATTCTTTCCCCAAAAAGGATGTTATATATCATAACGAAGCGTACAGTAGAAGCAACAGTAGCGTGGAGTCTAGTCCGGTTAGCTCTAAGCAGAGTTTAAAAGAACGCACGCCGAGCCCGAAGAGTGGATCCTTCGTTTCCGCGGTGATCAGCGCAATTCGGAACGCCGCGACGCATCCCTTCGCGGCTAGAAACATCGATAAAAAATCCAGCCTGGATTCGTCTAAACAGATTTACAAAGGTAATTGAATACGAATAAGATGCCACAATAAGGATATTACATTCAGATCCATTAAAACCATAATTTTTATTTTCTAGAACTGAGTATGGAATCGTCGTCCGACTTGCTCGATTTTGAAACCGAGCCATGTTTGATGATGGAAAGCGTCCTGGAAGACGTGCCTTTGCCGGACACATACTCGCATAACATGATATCGAGCAGCGATTCTCTACGCAGAGCACTGAGTTTCTCCGAAACGTCGGACGAGCATAATCTAAGGAAGACGAAGTACGGCGACGAATGTACAAGTCTCACGAATCTCACCCAGGCGATCCTGCATCGTCGTAAGGCAAGTATCTGAGATAAATCAAACTCGTAACTTATTAGAAATATAAAATAATCATAATAATTAATCGTATAAAAATTTGCAGGTGGAGGACGAGGGTGACGACGATTGCGATTCCGTGAGCGAATCTGACACCGGGACCAATGACGGTCCTGTACCTTTGACGGATTACTGTCCATCTGTGGATCTCGTCGATCAGGTGATCGAGGTGGACAATCTCGTTACTAAACTTCTCAAAGTGCTACGAATCATACAGCTTGACAACGATACGTGTATACAGGAATTGAAAGAAGAGAAGTGAGTTTAATAAATCTGATCGGATTATAAGGATTAAACCTCCAATTATTAATTCGGAATGTGTCATTTGCAGGTCTAACTTGGAGATAAAATTAGAAGCCACTGTAACGGAATTGAACGAGCTTCGCAAGATCATCGATAATCTTCATCAATCACCGGAAGAAGTCCTGAACAACGTGCCGGATCGACGACGTAGCGTTGTGGAGAATTGCCGGATTTTGCTTAAAGAGGTAATAGCCGGCGATGTCGCCGATACATTTTTATAGTGTGCTTCTTTCACGCTACTGCCATATCTCTGACATAAATTATTGACTTTCCTGAAAGAGATGTCAAATGGTATAATTCCTCTGTAGGCGGGTAAGGAGGAATTGAAATTTGAGGCCGTACTTGCTAGTAATAACAGTCCCGGTGAGATAAACTGAGGATCTCGATGCGATCGAGGCGACTTCCGCTTAATATTTTAAAATATCTTATTAATTTCGTATATATATATTCTTCCTAATTATTATAAATTATTTTAATTCTTAAGAGAAATGTGTCAATTTTGAAAGTCTGAATTATTATATTGAACATCGACGAACATTTTATTGTAAAAGTGGGATTTCTAATTTCGACGTGAATGAATTTTTGAAAGAGTTTGGACTGCATATAAATTTGAATTACATATATTTTTCCTTTTATCGCAACGTATTTCTGTGCGCTTTGTAATGTTAATTCCAGGCTGAATTTAATATTGTACATGTGTATATTAATACGACGTTGTTATGTCGAAATTGCGAAGAATAATTGAATCAAATTTGAACAAATACGGGCTCGTCGCCGTTTTTAAAATAATTGTACAAAAGATGATTATTTAAAGAATAAATGATTCTGATTAAAATTACAACCAACTATGGCTAATTACATAAGCGTATAAAGGGATATTTAACTTTGCTGATTTTGCATTGTATTTTTTTTTTTACCAGCATTTGGTAAAATATATTCATGAATAATGAATAATGATTTTAAATATATATTTGTAAATGTATTAGCGTATATAAAATATATGTTTTATACGTCTAAATTATATTTATGTCAAAATGTATATTTAACATATATTTGAATACGTGTGAACGTTGTGTAATACGCTAGTACACTTTTTTTGTGAAAATACAAAATTATAAATCGTTACTCGTTATTCGCGAATATATTATATCCAGTACTGATTCCCACCGAGTTGATCGCAGTTGATCGTAGAATTTTATATTCAATGCGTAGAAATAATTCTTCACTGTGTGAAATTATTAGGTTCATAATAAAGGCTTTTTCAATTGAGATAACAGAGTAGAGTATCCTACATTTAAGATAATAGCGTGTAATGGAAAATACAACAGAGTGCAAGGCACTATCATATAAAATGAAGGAATAGAATTTGGGTACCTTTTATCGTGTCTTCGATCCTGCAACACTCACATTACCGTAATCATTGTGCAACATCCAAGGAGGATAGATAATGAAATATTTTATGGCAAATCGTAGATATAAAAATGCTTAAAAACCTTCTTAATAGACGAAGACTAGAAAAAAAAACATTTATGCGATTATTTGTGTGCGTGCGTGTGTGTGTTCATAATTTATTTCTTTTTTTTTATCTAAGAATGTATATACCTATAAGATTTGTTTGTGATAAGTCTCAAAGACTTGTTGCTCAGTGAAATCAAAGTTGAGATTTATTGCAAACATTTAGACGAGGTTTCTTCCATCAAAATGGAGCTTTGCTTTAGGCACAACTTTAAGCATAGGAAACATATTGTGATGATACACCAAACAACAACACATATGTATTTTAATGTTTAATCAAATAAATTTTCATATCTCGAAAGACAGATGCATATAATTATATCATGTATACATAACTTTACGAAGCAGATTATATCACGTCGGTGCACGTGGAAAATTCGCAGCTAACATTTACGATTGTTTTATAAGCAAATGAATATATTGTATACCGTAACGCGCTAAATCAAAATGAAATTATAGCTAAGGCGAATATTGCATTTAGCTCGTTTAACATGTAAATACATATGTGGATACACAATCGCCCGTTACATTGTACGGATAAGGTCAATGAAATCGTGACTTTTGCAATTTTATGTATTTTAAAAGCCATCTTTTAAGTTACAGAGAGAAATGAGCTTGCCGGATAACGCTAATATCGATCGGCGCGTCTCTTTATTGATACTAGATACACCATATATATAAATGCGTGGTACGACATCGACTTCGATCGTCGATCATACATCGTTTATATTCTACGAGTACTCGTCCATCATCCCTGTAGATGCAGATATCCTATCCCTGTGGAGATGAGAGCATGGTTCTTTTTAAGTATCTTATTTTAAATAGGTATTAGTCTTGAAACGTAGATTGTACGCCCGCTGTATTGAAAGGGAAGGAAAATACCGTTTTCTTAATATATGCTGTAGGCGGAACACTATATGTATTGGAATTGCAAGCGTCGAGGAGTCATTTTAATGCACGCTCGTGCCTCGCACATGACGTATGCCACGTATCAAGGGCGCCAAGAAGTTCGCCAACCGTACAGCTGGTTGTCTGGAACATAAGATGGTCACGTCTCGAGAAAAAGTGTACACACTGTATTATTTTTATAATTAAAAAATTGAAAATTACGCGCGAGATACCAATTGCAATACGATTACAATTTAAGATATTGATATAAATTATAATTAATGCCAATAAAATTAATTGTCAGGGCAACGACGAGTAGATGGATTCTTACCTGTGTATTGTCTTCGAGATCGCCAGATCGGTTTTGTTATGGATACCGTCAACGGCGGGTTTGTCCGGTTCGCCGATGGGCTGAATCGGGGATGCACCCTCATTGGAAATGGAGAAATTAACTTCCGTAGTGCCAGCGGAACCAGCAGCGGCACCAGCGGCACCGGCCAGGAGCAGGGCCTCGACCGGTGCCAATACGACGACAAAGCCGTCCACGTGGATGCGATAATTCTCCGAACCGTTCTGCCGCTGGTCGTAGAAATCGGTGGTATCGGGATACCTGGACGTCGGCGCGGCCGTGGTCACATCTATCTCCTGCGGTACCACCGAGGTGGCCACGATCTCGGTCTTGATCTCGGACTCGATCTTGGACCCGGTCGGCTTGTCGGCGACGGGTAAACCCCGAACGCTCGCGCCGAAGAACGCGACGATTAGCACGGTCTTGAACACGCGCATGTTGATTGATAACATTGATGAGCGGCTACTCGTCGAGTTGCCTTGTCCACTCGACACACTTCGGTCTGTCCAGGTCTGTCTTCTATTCGCAAAGTCTGTCCTCGACTCGAGTCCGAGATTCCTAATTATGGCTTTTCTACTCGATTTCGACTCAAAGCACCGGTGACCTCGGGAACTGCGGGATGCTTCTTCCTGTTCGGCTCCGATCCGTGAATTTGCCAAGTTGTTTCTTGCTCGACGGACCACTTTTTGCGACTCTTAAACGAGACGCGGAAACGCGATTGGGCCAAGGACCGCGGTAACCGGTGCCGCGAGGATGCGACGAAAGCGGACGAAACGACGTTGGAGAACGTGGGACAACGTGTCTGGACAACACGGAGGATGCTCGAGGTGTGATGACCGGGCGATGTCTCGTATAACAGAGGACGATCCCGATCCCCACCTGGGCCGATCCGAACCTGTGAGCCTTCCTTCGGCTCGGTTCTAGAGACGGATCCCCGGAAAAGTTCAAGAACCTCGGCGTATACTGACGGCAACCTGCCGCTAACGGCACATATATCGTCACGGCACTGTTGATACGCCGTAAACTTCTTGTAATTTATGCGAAGATTGCCGGGAGAGATTCGCTCGAACTTGATTAAATCTGCAAAATACCCTCTCCTCCTCGCAATTTTACCGGCCAACTCTCGTAGAGCTAAAGTCGACGATATACTCAAGAAGGTATATGATTTTACATTTAAAAAGATACATGCTTTTCCTTGAGAACGAGTTGCCGAGATAAAGATACTTATATTTTCATGATTTCTCAGTTCCAAAGTCAAATTTTGAACGTAACAAAATTTTAAATTAAAAATTAGAAAGGTCTACTCGTCAGACAAGATAACAAGTCTTATAACTTTTTATTTTCAGTCGCTCATAATTCAAGAATCATTCGTCTTGCGGCTAATTGCGTTTTTCCCCATTCGGTCTCCAGCTGAGAGGGAGATGCGCGACGCTGGAAACGATGCGTGGAACATTCCTCGAGCGTTCTCTCCTCATTACATTCGGATTGCAAGAGCGGAACCGCCATCAAAGGAGAGGAACCTGATAGTATTAATAGCATTAAACGATATTCGTGGATGGAGACACGGTGGGACTGGCCGAGGACCGACTCCTCTGCTCCTCGTCAACGACGTGTCAATCGCGCGTTGAATGTCCCTCTCGGCGATAACCAGTTTTATTCGAAGGAAAAGGAGGAGCAAGAAGGGGGGAAAGCCGCCGCGATGATGCCAAAGACAGAGCGTAATAGTTATCGCACGCGGTGCCGCAGGTATACACGCGCACACGTGTACGTAGGTGTGCGCGCAATCTATAGTCACCAATCTCTGTAAAGGGCAATGTCCTATCGTGGCCGTACTTGGCCGTTCGCGCCGAGTTCATTTCCCCGATCTACCTACCGTCTCGCGGCTTGGCGCCTATTACCGTAACCTTGCCCTTGCTATCTCTCTCCCATCTTTTTCTCTCGCTCGCGCTTCCGCCTTGCGATGGGAACCGAATCAACGGCCATCGCAGAATCGCCGCCGGTCTTTGGGGAAACGACCTTCGCTCTCCGAAAATTCCCGGGGGCCGGGTACCGCGCGCCTTATACGGCTCGTCTCCATTCTCGATTGATGACGAGATCACGTTTTATGGGATTCTCAGGGTATAAGGATTCTAATTCCCGCGACACGCGCTATTTATATACCGCGACAAGAAAAGAATGAGATAAGCAGAGGATACGGAGAGACGAGAAAATACTACCAGCAATCTCTGTACACTTCTGATTTTTCCGAGAGCTTGTTGATTTAGAAGAGAAAGCCAAAATTAAATTAGAATTATAGAAGATTGGATCTCTCAATGAAATATTCTTTCGTGATTTTCGCTTGTATTTAAATATATATTCATGTTGTTGTTGCTTAAGTATTTTATTGATCAAGTAGCTTAATAGATATACATACAGTGTAAATCTTCACACATGTACAGTTTATATAAAACGATAATCATCTCGCATTCAGCGCGTTTTAACTGCTAAATTAATAATTCGCTAACTCCCTCTCGTTTCATCTCGTATGGCTCTTGCGCTAATAAGCAAAGGAAAATGAGCTTTTCGATCGGCAGACGAATGATAAATCTGACGAAAGATTTATGCTAAAAATAAAATATCGCAGCTTAAGCACGTTGAAAACCCCGCGAAACAAATATCGCGCACAGCGGGAGATAATTGCATGATAATAACTAGTACATTTTTTATATGTTTAAGAACTACAGCCAGGAGCTTAAAGCTAAAGGAGAGAACGAGCCGACTCGTCGACCTGGCAGATGCCGGTGGATGAGTCGCGACGCCTTCCCGGACCACAGTTCTCCACGCCGTCGCCAATCAGCACCAGCTCGTCCTGCTGCTTCTCCCCGGCGAACGAAGACACGTCGTTCCTGTCGGCGCTCGACGAAGGCAGCGCGACGTCCTCCTCCTCCCCTCTTCCGGGCAGCTGCTTCTTCAACGACGTTCCCGGTCGTCCCGACTCGACGTCGGGATTCCAAACGTTGCCGACGATGTTCCGTGCCCGACCGCCGTTTCCCGTCTTGGGCCCGGCGAGCGGCTTCCTCGCGTTCGCGAAATATCCCGGACTGGCCGGCACCTCGCGGCTCTTCGGGAAATCGAAGTTCTTCACATTTCTCGCGACTCTCCCGGCTCCTTCGGCCTGCCCGTCGCCGACGGGGGTCGGTCGCTGATCCAAGACGTTCGACGCTCCGGCATCTCCTCCTTCCGCTTTTCGCACCGAGCTCTCCTTGTCCGGACGATTTTCATTTAGCTGTATCACTTCCACGGAATAGGGCTCCTCTTGGCGAACCGCCTCGTCGGATTTGATTAAACCTTGCTGCTTCGAGCGGGATATCACCTGCTCGAGGGTCTCCAGTGCCAGGTCGCTGAGGTGGTCGTTGGCGGTATCGTTGGGGATGGCCGCGACGATGAGGAAGTTCTTCAGCTGAGCGTGCACGTTGAACTCGCCGTCCTGCCGTTGGTCGTACCTCGTCGGTGCGGCGCGAACCTCGGCCAGCGCGAAAAACGCCGCGCCGAGGAAAAATAGCATCCGGACCATCGCTATTCTCGTAGATGCACGTGCTGTGCGTCGTGATGCCTGCTGGTACGTGGAGAGCGTGACGGGAGGTGCGCGACGCTCTCTGCTCGACCTCGCGGTACAATGCTCTTCGGGCTCAACGCGAGCGAAACGAGCGAGGTCCTTTCCACAACTGCGCGGACGACCGTGCGAGCAGCGGGCCCGCCGCACTTGTTGGACCGTTGCACGAACCGGTACACCCGGAATCTGTATGATAGGGGGATCCATCTCGCCGCAGGATTACAGAATCACGTCGATTGGCGTGGGAACGATCGGCCCGTACATCAACGTCGTCACGGACGGAAGCAACACACAGATGATTTTGTATCGCGAATCTCAACGGCGCGGCTAATTGCGAGTTACAGACTAACGTTCGAGCGGAAACCCAAGCGTGACGATCAAAAGGAGTCGAGAGTTAAAATGAGAACGGAGGAAACATCGCAAACTTTTGCGAGATTTTTATAAGAATGTATGCGTTTCCTCTCCTATGAGTATATTTTAATAATGTTTTACATTTTTTAGGAAAGATTCTTCCGACGTTCGCCAGGGTCAAAAGTTCGCTGTAGAGGACTGCGGGACAAAAGGAAGCGCACCGAATGCTAAGAGATAATCATCGCTAAAGTGCCAATTGTGGGATTTGTTTCACCGTTGCGAAGGCATAAACTCGATGCATGTATGGCACATCTCCAAAGGACATTTATTTCTAAGTCTACTCCCAGCCCGCATCTCTGCCCGAATCCTGTCGACCAAAGGAGGACCGATCGATCTCTCTCGGGGAGGGGCATCCTGCATCGTCGCGGTTTTACTCACGGCAACAGGCGAGTCAGCCACGGCCGACTCGCTCGTCGACAGCGTCCGTTGCCGTTCGGAACGTATCCAGATTTGCAGCGCTTCTGCGACCGCAGGGCGTGCACGGCTTTCACCGTGGTCGAAGGAGCCGTTCCGACCCCATCCTCCTCCTCGCTCGGCTGACCCTTATCGTTGTCCGCATTCGGCGTCGAGCTCGCGGTACCATTCGACCGATCAGCGTTCGGGATTCCCTCGTCCTTGGAGGGCGTCGTATCGCTCGCGGTACCATTCGACGGATCAGCATCCGGCGGCGGGGCTTCTTCGTCCTTGGATGGCGTTGCGTCGCTCGCGGACGGGCTTGTATCACCGGCGGACGCCGAGACGGTCGAGTTTTGCGACGGGATCGGCTCGGAAACCTGCATGATATCGTTTTTCTCCGTGGTCGACGTCGCGGGGCTCGTCGTGGTGGGCCTGTTGCCCGGCTTGAGGGTAAAGTCGGCGTAATCGTAGAAGTAATCGTAGTCCTGCGAAGGCAACACGACGTCGACGGTGAATACTCGTCGACGAACATCGACAATTTACACAGCGGTACTCGAAACAATCTATTTGTTCGGCGTAAAGCGCGAGATACATATAGTTTGTAAAATGCGTTTCTAAATATGAAGTATCTAAGATGGACTTTGTAAATTGCAGGCAGTAATCTTGCGTCAAACTCATCGCGTACGTGTAAAATGCAAGGCAGTTACAAAAGCCTGAAGAATAGCCAGAGGACTGTTCCTTCAACCGCGAGTTGAAATAGCGCAGCAAGATCAAAAGGTACATCATAGTAAAATTCACTTTGTACGCTTTCGCAAATCTTCCCCGATGTGAGCAAAGGAGTATACAAAATAATTTGGGAAAAAACAAAGACAAGAATAGAAAAGAGCGCGTTCTCCAACGCAGGCGGAGGAAAAGGAGGAGACCAAAAAAGAGGACCACGCGCTCTCGCGTCCTGCTATGCGAAAGGGATTTACCGTGTAGTCGTCGAGGAGCTCGGAGTTGAGTAGCGCGACCACCTGCACATCCTTCAGCTCGATCTGCACGTTCAGGTCGCCGGTCTGCCGCTGATCGTAGACCGGCGCGGGGGGCTTCGCGACGGCGACGCGACAGGCCGCGATGACGAGGAGGAGGCCGCGTAGGGCGAGCATGATCGTCGGGCTGCGCGGCTGCGATCGTTCCTGACGTGGCGAGAACTGAAAAATGGATGGGACGGCGGACGGCCCCGGGCCCCGGGCCCCCGACCTGATGGCCTCCGGCGGGAACCTGCCGACGCGTCCGGGGCGGCCGGTTCCCGCCGTCCCGCTCCCGGGAACGCGATTCGGTTCGCGCGTATAAAACCGGTATACCCACCGCCGCCGCGGATGTGTCTCTCTCGCTGTCACCGCCCCGGCACTTGGCCGCGGCGGCGGGTACGATGTCCGGCCGTTGCCCTCTCGCCGCTATACGCGTTCTACCTTGACAGCCGGCCTTCGGAACGTCGCATAACATCGCGTGTTGCGCTTACACGCAATCGGATCGGTGTATTTTCGTACATACGGCCTCGTACTCCCGGTCATCATCAAGTGTTTGCACGTGTTCCGCGTGACGATCTCGAGAACCCGGACGGGCGGCCGGCACCGTCGTCCACTTGGCGTTCGAGAGACTCGCTCGAATGCTTCATAGATATTTACAAATAGAGTAAAGAGGGCTATATGAGAGGGAAACGAAGCGCTCTTGAAAGAATTGCGAGAGCCTGTTCCAGGTATCTTCTCTCGCCCTCGTGAGACTAATGTATCTTTGTAATTTTGTTGCTCCTTTCAATGAAAATAAGTCTTCCGAATGTAATGCGGGTTATTGTAAAGAAATATCCGAGAAACGAGACGGAAAATTTCTCACGTTAATCACGCGTTTCGTAATTTAATTTTAATCAGACTGATTTTTATCTATCTAAACGATGTTTCGAGACTGAAAGTTGGAATTTCATGAATAATGCGCGGTATATTATAGTGTGTTGTGTAAATTAATGATGCAACAGAGACTTCCAGTAATTAATCATGTTTTATTTCTTCAAAAAACGTTACAGATATAAATATAATGTGCAAATTAAATCTCATCAAAACCGGACAGAAACGTATAAATATTTTTCCAGATAAAGGCAATCTACTTTTCCCTTTTTCGCAGGCCGTTTTACATTTCAGTGCGCGTGATAAATTGACACGCGGCCAAATGTGAGACATCAATAATATAAAATTTCGATATTAATCGTCCGCGCTTCGGAAAGAACGTTTGAAAAACCCGCGCGAAAAACTTTCACGACGCGCGCACTTTCCGCACTTTCTCCACTCCCCTCGCCCACGCCCGCGCGGCTCGGAGCGAGAAGGTGCGCGTGAGACGCAGCTAAATTCGCTCATTTGCAGCTGGAACTTACGCCCTTCTTCTTACTCCCTCCGACGTCCAGTCGTTTTCTATCCATTTCAATCCAAATCGTAGACGGAGCGCAGACGGACTCGCCCCCCTCGGATCACGTGCCGTCGCCTGCACCTGCCTGCACCCGCCTGCACCTGCACTCGCGTAATGTGTCGTAATCGGCGGACGATGCAAACAACAGTAATCTGTCACCTCGCACGTCCGTAATGACGCCGAGGCGGAATGTCGCGCGCCGCCGCGGGCGCGCGTAGCCCCCCGGGTGCATTGCACGTACGTCGTCGCCGTCAGCGGGGTGACCCGGCTGCCGATCCCCCCCCCCGCCCCCCAGGTCCATCGTCGTCGACCGGATCGTCCGTCCCGATCATCGCGCGCGCGGCACAGCCTGACACCTCCTCCTCGGCGCGGCGCCGTTCACGCGCCCCGTGGGATGCGCGCCCGCCGCACTCGCAGCAGCGCATCGCCCGTTGTTTACCCTACGGCGACCCCCGCGTCCTCGGCGACCCTTATCATGCGACGCGCTGACACGAACGATGCTCCAATTTTTTAAGAAGATTGGTAAATATTAATTATTGCACGTACCGCCTCACATGCCGCGCGGCGTAGATGAAACGGGCGAATCGCCACCTCCTCCTCCTCCTCCCCCCTGTCTAGCACGCGTTCCCCGAGACAACTGACCTCCTGACATTTGCAACACGTTGCCCTTTTCCTCTTTATTTTCCTTTCCTCCGTTCCTCTCTCCCATCGAGATTTTTTAGGGAATCAGCTGTCGGTGTTTCGTCGTTCGAATTGGATTTTTGCCTTTTTAATATTTATGTATCTTTCTTCTTGTTTACATTCAAAATTAGAATTGGTTAAATCGCCTGGTAACTATCCTGGAAAATGACTGTTCATAACAGTATATCCTTCTTCGTACGTTTCAACGTTTTAATTTTAATTTTCATTGTAATGAAATTGCGTGCGACGCTTTTGCAGGACAAAGGGACAAGTCCGGATTACCAGAAACCTCACCTGCGAGATCGACGAGCTCGGGTAGCTTCCTGACAGATGCCTTCAACGGTGGCGCGTCGTTCATTCGGACGCCCTCGGGTGTACTGTGCAGTCTCGAGGAGGAAGAGGAGGAGGAGATTCTCAACGATGACGCCGAGGAAGCGCGCGCCTTCAGCTCCCGGTTGTCCAAGGGTCTGCCGGAAGTGCTCAAGGACAAGAGTGCCCTTGGTTACTTCATCCAGTTCATGGACATCAGGAAGCGCGTAGCTCTCATCAAGTTCTGGTTGGAGGTGGAATGCTTGTGCAGCGCATCCGGGATGCCCGACGCACAGAGAGTCAGACGGTCAAATCAAAAGGAGCTGCTGGACGCTTTGCCCACTTCCCTAGACGATAACGAGAACTTTAGCTGCGACGTGCTCGTCAGCGATGTAGATACTCAAACGAGCAGCGAAATACCGTTGGACGTGAGGGCGGACGACGCGACGTCCAACGGTATGCCAAAGACTAGTCAGGCGGTAAGCAAAACGCGACAATCAAACCACGATTGTACGAGTGGGAGACGCGACGCGACGCCGACCAGGCAGGACGCTTTGAGAATTTATAGGAAGTACATTCTCAAGGAGGCTCTGGGTGTAAATCAAATATCCGAGGAGTTGAGGGTAGACATGGAGAGGGCCATTGTCCAGGAAAACATTGAGCCTATATTACGGTGCCTATCTGCTGTTCAAAGCATAGTATACGATACATTAGAAAACGAGTGAGTGACGCATGTTCATTGACACGCCGCTCGAATCTATAACTGACACGTGTAAAAAAAAATTTATAAATTTTTTTCGCAGATATATTAACGATTTTTTACGAAGCGAATTTCACTGTAAGCATCAAATTGACGTGCTCACCAGTGGCAACGTACAATTAGCGGATATATTGTATAACGAGACAGCATTCTTCTACTTTATGGAGGTTTGCATCACACGCTCTTCACGATCGCTTACTTCTGTCGAAATTTTCGCGAGAGATTCTTTTCCATTCTTTATACATTCCAGTTTATGGAACTCGAGAATAAACGAGAGCTGTTGGACTTCTGGATGTCGGCTATAAGTTACAAGCAGAATCTTTTGGAGAAGAAAGGTGCAGCTGATCCCGAAGAAGCCCAATCCGATGCCGTTATTATATACGAGAAGTAATTTCTATATAACATATGAGTATATGGAGGAGAGAAGTAGGAGTGGACTTATATATGAATGTTACTTTTCTCAGATATTTCAGCTTACAAGCAACCATGCCTCTTGGATTTAGCGATAAGATTCGTTTTCATGTGGAACAGAATATTTGCCGCGAGGACGATAGCGGTCCACAGCCCGATTGTTTCGATAAACCCAGTAAAATCGTATATAATTTTCTCAATAAGGTATTGCTAATTTATTACACAGATTTGCCTATAACTCGTACACAGCCGCACTCACTGCACAAGCTCTCGCTTCAAAGTAGTTGTTTTAAAAGCCAACACTGTGTCTTCCAGCATTATCTCCCAGCGTTCTTATCGTCACAGCTGTATTATAAATACTTATCGGAGCTAATCAGCACGATTCAGACCAGCCCGTGTCCGAGTTTACATTCCAAGATAAGAAGAACAGGTTGGTGCCGTTGATTCCAATGTTGTTACGCATGAAAGATATTAAAGAATACTATATGTCTTTTGATCAGTAAATATACATATAATTTTTATGTAATTTTATCTTTGTATAATATATGACGTTAAGATATATAATTACTTGCAGGTTCAGATTGCAGCAGTGAAGTAAGCTCCGTGTGTACTAGTATGCCAAGTATTTCTCAAATAGGAAATAATGGCAGCAGAGTATCTGATAATAAAAAAACTATCAACAGTCACATGAATATCGACACCAGGCAACTTTACGATCCAGATTCCTTGTGGCGACGTAACAAATATAGGTATATTTGACAATTTAACATTAATACACATGTCCGTACTGATTTGTAAGCCGTAAATAATTTTATGTACTTTGTAGTTTAAGCATTGGTTACGTTGACAACTTAGGTAGATTTATTACCGAAATAGAGCCAGATCCTCATAGAAAATACGGTAAGTTGCACACATATTTAGTTTGTAAGCTAACATACCTATATATATATGAGATTATCATCATGTATGCAAATTTCAGAATCTCGCCTAACTCGTGTTGTAAAACGACTTATAAATATAGAACAAGATAAGGTAAATATTTTATTGGCATTTTATAATTCATTAATAAAAGCAATAACATATAATGGGCATTGTTTGATTAATGCATTATTTGTTATTGATAGGCTAAAGAGGAATTGGCATGGAGGATCACCGAGATGATCATTCGTGAAATCACGTCTTTGACACTTGGAGCTTCAAATCTTCCCTCTTGATGGTGTAAACTTGACGTGACGATTTTGAGGCTTGAGTTTTCCTTAAGTATAGATGTTTTGTGTATTTGTGTAAGTAAAGTGCTTTGTCCTTTTATTTTAAATGTTAACGTAATAATGCTACAGACTTTGCCAAAGTGCCAAACAGAAAAACGGAAAATTCTAATTTATTTTATAATACGGCATCTTAAAAAGGAAATATTTATGGAGGAAGATATGTTCTGGGATGTTTTACATTTTCGTATTTTATATTTTGGCATGAAACATAACGATGAAACAGAGACTTGAATTTTTGCTAATCAATAATTTAATCCGAATTTATAAGTAAGTTGTTTATATAAATAAGTGTAAATAACTTTATTAGAAATTGACATACGTATTTTAGTATCTTTACAATTCGTTGCGTAAAATAATTTATAAAGATCTTATAAGCAGCATAATCTGTAATATTTTTTTGTAACTATTATAAAAGATCTTCCTATTTTGTTAATTTATTATAAAATACTCGATGAGCAAAGAACAATAATTTAACGAATACGTAATTCCTTCATCAGCCATCGTCGATGACACCAGAAGCAAAAAAATCAATGCAAATGATTATCGTATACATCTATGTCGTATATATCTAAATCATGATTAAATGTATATTTATAAAAAAATACTCAGTTAATATGAAAAAGATATAAAGACTTATGTATGTGTCAAAATTTATATAGAATATTTAGAGTAATACCATCTTTTTTTTTTTTTTCATTCTATCTTAAATCTTGGCAGTCATTTTTAATTATTTCCGTACGTGCGAAACTTATTAACATTTGCATTATTTTTCTCGCTTCTGATAAGATGACTAATGCAGATATTGACGAAAATTCTTAAAATATAAGATTTTGTACTTTTTTCATTGCCAATTTATACGACGATTGGTGTTAAAATAGATAATGAGATATATATGTACATATACGATGATGCATATGACCGCCGTTGATCGTGATATTATGATATAGAAGAAGATATATTTTAACAGTATTTAGAGCGTATAACACACGTAATGTTTAAGTACAAAATGTTATTAATAACGAAACTACGAAACCCCTATTATACATATATGCTCTATCTTCTATTTTGTTATATCTTTTTATTTATGAGACTATTATACGACGCATACTGTAAAAAAAAAGTACATATAATATCTTTCAAAAAGGCACCCTGTCTATTAAAAGTAATCAAACAGTCTATTATTGTATGCAAATGTATTACAAATGCGTATATGCGCCGAATCTTTTTCTTTGAAAGACTCTCTCTCTTGCACAGATGTTTCTTTTTTATTTTACACCTTCGTTGTTATGCTTCAAAATCGCGATTCTCTGTAGATGTCTAAATATTACCTAAATTATGTCCATCCATTTTCTGTTTATTGTATCGCGAATGTATAATGTATAAAAAACTATATTTTAATACGATCTCTCTGTGTAATATATTAAAAAATTCTATTTTGTAAAATATTTCCCCCAAGTTATTTCGAAAAAAATTGTTTAATAAAATATTCTTTTATCCGAGTCGAGACGTTCTCTGAGAAATCTTATTCGGAAATCGCGCCTGAACGTGCACGATAACGAGTCCGACTTTATAATATGTATAAAAACTGACTTCATATATTAAATCTATCTTTAACACTATGATATGGCGTACACTATTTACACTTCTCGACAAACTGTCAGTAAAAATAGATTCTTACAGAGACGAAGATCCGTTTATACTGACATGCGGCACTTTCTGTCTGTATCCCGTTTGCGGATTGAGCAACGGTGACGATTCAGAAACGTGCACGTCGCTGTCCGTCCTGGCAATCATATGTAAATGCAGACTGGCGGTGCTCGACTTGTAATCTTGACAACACTCTAAACGCAATTTCTCCCTTCTGGTCCACGACTGATAAACGATCGCGTTGAAGAACGCTTGTAGGGGATTTGTCACGGCCTGTCACAGATCGAAAAGGAAATCTCGATTAAGTTCTCTGCGTTCGGCCGTGCGCGCTTGAAATGAGATCTAATACATGAAACGTTACCATTATGTACCACAAAGTGATGATCGCCTTGATCGGCAATTGAAACCACAGGGTCCACAATAGTATTCCGTTAATTAGATTGGGCGTCCAGCACACGTAATAGACCACATTGATGAGAGCGAATTTCAATCTGACCGTCTGTATCAGCCTTCGCTCCCTGCCGGTCATCTGAGCCATACTGTGGAGAACCGCCGTCTCGAGGTCCCGCGTCGATGCGACGTACAAAATGGGATTCGCGATCATGACCACCGCCAGCAGCACGTACGTGGCGAAGTAATTCGGAAGGATGCGCAATAGCGCGCTGGACAACGACGTCAGGCTGTGACAGCTGCAAGAAAATTTCGCTCCGTTATCATCACTCTAAGGGCGTACCGCCTAGGGTGCCACGTGCGATACTTCTAAGACCTGACTTTGCGTTCGGAATGTACAGAATGATCAGCCCGAACGCGGTGAGAATAGCAGGGAGCACCCAGGCCAGGACGTGATAGCACGCAGGACGTCCGTTTTTGTCTCCCAGCAGTAACTTCATGTCCACCGCGTAGCACAACGTCCATATCCACGTGGCCATGTAGAAATACTGGATCCACGCCTACGGGCAAACGATCTCTCTCAATCCTCCTCATGAACTTTCAAAATAGGTATCAAGCGTAGGAGGTGTCAAACATTACCGATAACACGGCGCAAAACACCACGTTGGGCATGTCACCCTCTATGGGTATGATGGACTTGAAATTCCTCCATAGCGCCGACCTCACAAACACACCTGATAGAGTACAGAACAATCAGAGATAAGATACCGATTTTTGTTTGTCTCACCTACCGTGTCGTTGTATTCACTGACCAAAATTAACTTATAGCTGTTTGTAACTAATTTGCAGATTTTTATGTACTACTAACTGCTATTGGCATAATCTAATTGCGATAATAAACTAGACCTAAGGACGCTAAGAGATCAGCAACGGCAAGCCATACAATAATATCTCGTCCTCTGGAGAAACTCCGCCGACGATAAGAATTACTTGAAGCCTCTCGGGGCAGTATCTGAAAAAATATTTTCCTTCAGTGCCAATTTGCGAACGTTCCTTCATACCCTCGAGTAATTCTCGCCAAATTTACTTCAGTCTAACACAACATTACACGTGCAAATAAATTTTTACAATTATTATTATAAACTTAAATCATTAATATGTATAAATAAGAGTTCAATATAATACAATATAAAATTATTTCATATTTTATTCAAATATTTTGTATATGTTACATACACATGTTATAATTATCTGATACAAATACTTTTATATCGGTTTCTTTTAGCTGCACTTTTTCGTACACTTGTCACATGGGAAACCGGATATAAATATACGCGTTGGAGGAAGAGACGAGGTGTACAAGGTGCAACGAAAAGAAAACGGATCAACAGAGAAGTCGCATCATGACAGAAAGTTTAAATTCCGGGACAATATCTTTCAGCGATTGATTCCGGTCGTGGTAAAGAACTCGGGTCAATTCCCGCTCTGTACGTTGGTCGTCGCAAATTAATAAGAAAAGAACGAATCGGTGAAGCGAAGGCTCGTTCGGGGATAACATTTCGCGCTGAATTTACCTGATAAATCGCGCCTATCATGCCCATCGTGGACGAGAGCATGCACACCGTGTTGTACGCGTCTGTATTGAATTCCTGCATTATCGCTATCGCCATATCCGTTCGGTTTGTATGATGACAGCAGAACGTTTGCAGGGTCGGGTCGGCCATTGCTATCGGATGTTATCGCGATCAAGTTCAGCGTGTCTCTGCCCCGACTTATCCTACTCGATCTAGTAACTCTCTCTCTCTCTCCGTGCAGAAAGAAACCGGAGTTCCCCACTCGAGTGTCCGGCAGCCAATCGATACGTTCGAACTTGTCTTATGATAAAAACGAAATACGTATCTCTTAAAACGGGAATCTCGGTAGAAATCTTTTCGTTCTTTTATTGCAGCTCGGATTAGCTTTGTCTATTATTTTCCTATATAAAAAATAAATTTCCGAACGCATTACATTCAGCCACGTTGAATTAATTGAATCAGCGTATACGGCATTCCAATAAGTTAGAGCTCAGTATTTTCTTCGCTTTATTATGTCGGGCCGCCAGTCGACGGGGTGCGTTTCCTCAGTCTGAAAACATAGATAACGGGATAATTAGCGCAAAGCTTAGAAAAACGATGAGCTAGTCGAATGTTATCAGCGCGCGTGCGATTGCCAAATCGACACGAGCGTGATATAAAATCAACTTACGGCAGTATCGTCTTCCTTGTACACTTTAATCGTCTTGTCAGCCTCTGTCGTAATCATCCGAGTGCCTGACATGTCGAACGTAATGCTGAACACCCCGGCCTCGCTGTCCATTGACCCGGGCTGAACCGGCGCTTGGAGCCGCTGGAAATTGTATCCGGTTCGCCAGTCCCACAGATGCATGGTGCCGTTGTCCGCGCCGGAAACCAAGACCCCGTCGGCATTCACGGCCAGGCAATTGACTATGGCGTTATGGCCCGACAGGTTCTGAATGAATTTGCCCTCCGGACACTTCCATTGCTTGATATTGTCCGGCGACGCCGAGGCGAACATGTACAGAGACGGGTGGAACGTCAGGGCGCGCACGCTCTTCTTGTGATTCGTCAGAGTGGCCCTGGACTTGCCGGCAGCCAGGTCCCACAGGCGAATCGTGCAGTCGTGGCTGCCGGTGGCGATCTGCGGCTCGGCAGACTGACAGATCACGCTGGCCACCGTGTTGGTGTGCCCGACGAGGGTGTGAACGTTCGCCTTGGTACGCATGTCCCACACTCTCCCGGTGGAGTCACGTCCCGCCGTTACCAGGACGTCTATGGTAGGATGTAACGCCATGGAATACACCGCCGACAGATGGCCGTGGTAGTGCCTGATCACTTTGTTATATTCTAAATCCCAGCACTTGACCTGGCGATCTTCCCCGCAGGAAAATAGGTACGGGTGTCTCTGTGAGAATGCAAGGCCACGTACGCTGCTTATGTGGCCAGTTAGGGAAACCTTCAACCTGCCACTGGCTAGATCCCATATCTGTAAATACCAAACATTTGTACAAGCTTGCATAGAGAACCTGTTAACTTCGTTAATCTTACGTTCTAGAATATTACTAAATAATGCGAGAATGAAGCACTCACTTTGATTACTCTGTCGGCCGAGCCTGTGGCAAACCACTCGTTTCCAGGCTCCACGGCGCAACATCTCACCCATCCCAAGTGACCGCTGATAACTCTGTACAGTTTCCATGGCGCGTGCCACTTGGGTTTCGCCATTGACGGCGTTTTCTTTTGCGGCATTGTGAGCGCACCGCTGCCCATATTGCTTCCCACACTTATTGGCACTACGCTTGCGCTTCCTTTTGTCGTAGTGTAAGGAACAATTGCCGAGGTAGGGTTAATTCCAAAAGTTTCATCTAAAAATCATATTAAAATTGATACAATAAAGACACGTGTAAGAGTAACGATACTTATTTTTATCTCAATTGTGTGTAGGTATCGCAGGACATTACCTCCTGGCGGTGGAGGATCTGCAGTGTCATTGTCTTGCTGCACTTTAATCGTATTTTGCTTGACCCGTTCTAATATTGGACCATAACAATCTTTAGCCTTGACTATTTTCTTCATTTGTTGCCTAAAAAAAATAAATATTATAAATAAATAACTGCTTCTCCAGGAGATTAAAGCAGGCAGTTTTGCTCTTAAGCAATTCAGAGCAGCTGCAACGGCAAGTTACTCACAAAATAGGATCTTCCGGCGGTAAAGATCCTTGATTCAACAGGAACATATCGTGAGTTCTCTTTAAGGACCGAAACACTAGCGTGTGCACAGAATGCCGTTGGACATCCTAGAACAGGATAATGAAGTATAGATTTTTATTTAAAATAATTAAAAATAATAATAATAATATTGAAGACAATTAAAACATTCTTACCATTTTCTTGAGTACTAGAAATCACTTTGTGAACTCCTGTGTGGTTTCTTTTCCCAATTGTTACTGTTTTATATCACTTTTTAATAGCCTTTATTATATTTTTGTGTCAATTTCTCTTCACAATTAGGAAAATCCAGATAACACGATTAGAAGTTTCACATCAATGTTCTTTAATCAGTCCTCAATGTTGTACGGATATGGAATTTCCAATGTTTCTTGTTAACGATACAGTCTAATGCATCCACAATTCTTATTTCTTGAGACTGCTCCGCAATCCACGTTCACATCTAAACATTTTAGCACATTTCGAATCCGTGTATTTTTGAGGTTATGGGACTTTCCTCTTTCCTCTAGTTGTTTCCTTCTTGCGTCGTTGGCCTAACTGGAAACTTTTCATCCGGATGGGGATTTTCGATACATTCTCGAAGCTCAATTTTTGAACATTCATCATCTGTTTCGTGCAAGCTACAATTAACTTAAAATAAAAGAAAATTGGAAGAAAATATTTTTCATTAAAAAATCAATGTTACCTTGAATTTTTTAAACGGCACTATTTCATGATATCATAGAGGAGTAAAGAGGACTTCAAGGCACATTCAACGCACTATCAGAAATGTCATTTATTTATAACAATAAAGGAAAAAACTAAGAGAGCGAAGTCCTATGCAGGAATATCTGTGATCTATATTTATGTCAAACCAATAATTAATATTCAAGACCTTCGAGAAACGATAATTATATACAGCTTGTACAACTTGAATTCCAAATAGTATAATATTATAACTGCTACGCATAGTATAAACTAGTAAAAAAAATAGCATAGTGCCGTTTAAAAAATTGAAGGTAATATTGATTTTTTGAAAAATATTTTTTTCCATCGTATAATATTATAGCTGCTACGCATAGTATAAACTTGTAAAAAAAATAGTAAAGTGCCGTTTAAAAAATTCAAGGTAATATTGATTTTTTATAAAGGAAAAAACTAAGAGCGAAGTTCTATGCAGGAATATCTGTGATCTATGTTTATGTCAAACCAATAATTAATATTCAAGACCTTCGAGAAATGATAATTATATACAGCTTGTACAACTTTGAATTCCAAAAATAGTATAATATTATAGCTGCTACGCATAGTATAAACTTGTAAAAAAAACAGCATAGTGCCGTTTAAAAAATTCAAGGTAATATTGATTTTTTGAAAAATATTTTTTTCCAATTTTCTTTCACCGCGAATTGTAGCTTGCACGAAACAGATGAATGTTCAAAAATTGAATGTTTCAAAAATTTGTAATTTCTCTTTCTTTTAATAAAATATAGTACGAATATTACCTTGTAAAGTTAATCCACTAATTAAAGTTAATCTCTCAGAGCTTAAAAGAGAAGTCCGATAAAAGAGAAGATGAGCAAATGATCTGAATTATCTCTGATGTTTCAGGAACACTTGAAATTTTTAAGAAGACGATTGTACGTTGGTGGTCCGCGTCCAGATATAAATTATATTTATCATCTAAATATAACGGGATGACATTTGACCTGCTGTTCTCCTCTGCTGTTGTTGCCACTTGTCGGCTTGTTATTACGATATGCCGTCAACGTCACACGCGTGTTATCGTATTTACGCTATTCGCCGTCTGCAGGGGAGATGGATGTGTGTACATTATATCGTTCGATATAATACGTGCTCCTTGGTGGCACATCCTCTTTGCCACGCATCGCCTAAATTGCTTCCAATCGAGCGTGAAGGAAGTTCCCTCGGATATAGGAATACTTGCAGACCGGCTTTGTTCAGAAAGATAAACACAACCTGTTTGTTTAGTTCTGCGTGTCCCGTTCCGGATCTAACGCCTGAAAATGCCAGCGAACAAATTAGGTGAGCTATTTCATAGAACTGAAAAAGAAACGACGATTAACCTTTAATTGACCGGCACGTGATGGGGCACGCTTGCCGGATCTACTTCTTCTTTTGTTAACGAAACGTTAATAATTTAAAATATTCTTCTCTGGATCTCATCCATCTATAAGAGCGAATTACGTTTTAATCGTAATTGTTGATTTGTTTGGCAACTGCATTATTAGGCATAAAACTTAAATTTTGATTAATACGAAATCACATAAAGTTAATAAATTTTCTGTATATAAAATCAAAATATTACTTTATGTTGTAGATTAAAATAAATAAATATAAATCGAGAAAATTATGATAATTATAAAAAAATTATGCTACTGGAACAAACATACACAGTAGAAGAATATCGAAGAAGAGACAAAACTTTAAATGATATTTGCATGCTTATATAGATTTTCTAACTGTTTCCTCAATATTTATACTTGAAATATATATATTTTTCACATCTTTCGTAATTTCTATTTACAAATAATAATACTTTATAAACAATGACAGAGATATTAATCAGTTTTATGAAATTTTCAGCTCTTTTAAGCGTATCTGACAAGACGGACCTGTTACCACTGGCAAGGAAACTACACGAATTTGGATTGACTCTAATCGCCTCTGGAGGTACCGCACAGGCATTGAGAGACGCCAAGTTACCGGTGCAAGATGTTTCTGAAGTTACAGGAGCACCCGAGATGCTTGGTGGACGCGTCAAGACCCTTCATCCTGCCATTCATGCTGGTAAGAATAAATTTGTTACAATTATAAGTGACTTTATTCATATTTATCAAAATGTTATTTAATTAAGTGCAATAACAACTATGTAGCAATATGTACGACTAAGCTGTGATGCAATCCTTATAATTTTTACATTCTTATTTTTACCATGACAGGCATTCTCGCCAGGTTGACAGATTCCGACGCTCGAGATCTTCAGAAGCAAAATTATGATCTTATCCAGGTGGTAGTTTGCAATCTCTATCCCTTTGTAAATACCATTTCGAAACCAAACGTGACGGCCGAGGACGCGATAGAGAACATCGATATCGGTGGTGTGACTTTATTGCGCGCGGCTGCCAAGAATCATACCAGAGTTACTGTTATCTGTGACCCGACCGATTACGACAAGGTCATCAAAGAGATGGACACCGCTGCCGACAAGAATACCTCGTTGCAGACTAGGTAAGCTTGCACGATATAAATGCAGCCGTGCAATCTTGCGAGATCCCTTATAAATGTATGTATAATTTCCAGGCAAACTTTAGCCCTGAAAGCGTTCACTCACACCGCCGAATACGACAACGCTATCTCGGATTACTTCCGCAAGCAATATAGCCCCGGTGTCTCCCAGCTCACTCTCCGCTACGGCATGAATCCGCATCAGAAGCCCGCGCAGATATTCACCACTCTGGAGAAGTTGCCGTTGACCGTGCTGAACGGGTCACCTGGCTTCATCAATCTGTGCGACGCGTTAAACGGCTATCAACTGGTAAAAGAATTGAAGTCCGCTCTAAACTTACCGGCAGCGACTTCGTTCAAGCACGTCAGCCCGGCTGGAGCCGCAGTCGGCGTTCCCCTGGACAGTATACAGGCGAAGCTGTGCCAAGTGGACGATCTTCACGAACAGCTCACGCCTTTGGCAGCCGCCTACGCTCGTGCGCGAGGTGCCGATCGAATGTCAAGTTTTGGCGATTTCATCGCATTGTCTGAACCGTGCGACGCTATAACAGCCAAGATTATTTCAAGGTACATGATGCTAATGTCTGATATTAATGCATGATGATAATATTGATACAATATTGGTAATATATTGTATTAATATCTCTCTCACAAATGTAAGATGATAATATAATAACATAATATGTAATATTGATGGTAATATTTATATTAATAAATTTCTGTAACTATTTATAGAGAAGTCTCAGACGGCATTATCGCGCCTGGCTACTCGGAAGAGGCTCTTAAAACACTGAAGAAGAAGAAGGGTGGCGCATATTGTGTGCTTCAAATCGATCCTTCTTACGAACCGTCTCCGATGGAACGCAAGACTCTGTACGGCCTGGTTATGGAGCAGAAACGTAACGACGCGATTATCGACAAGTCGGCGTTCGACAATGTCGTGACGACCAAGTCGAAGACTCTGCCGGAAAACGCTATCCGTGATCTGATCGTGGCCACCATCACCGTAAAATATACACAAAGCAATTCTGTCTGTTATGCCAAAGACGGGCAAGTAATCGGCACAGGAGCTGGACAGCAATCTAGAATTCACTGTACTAGGCTTGCGGGGGACAAGGCCGATAATTGGTTCGTTATCTTTTTATTATACATATATAAAAAATAAATGGCCAAAGACATGGCAATAGTTATGAAAGTTATCTTGCATTATCTATATATACTTTTATATTATTAGGTGGCTTCGCCAGCACTCAAAGGTAACAGGAATGAAGTTCAAGAAGGGCGTGAAAAGAGCGGAGATTTCTAATGCTATTGACAATTACGTCAACGGGTCCATTGGGAAGGATATGGATGAAGCTACCTGGGCCGCTATGTACGAAGTCATTCCTGAAAAACTGTCGGAGAGCGATAGGCTCGAGTGGCTGAAGAAGCTGAACAATGTTGCTCTGAGCAGCGATGCCTTCTTCCCGTTCAGAGACAATGTGGACAGGGCTAGACTTGTAATTATTATTATTATATATTACCTTTATTTTAGATACAGTCGTATACAAATTTAAATTTAAATTTAAACATCAATAAATTAAACGTCACTCGACCGACTTATCTTTTTCATAGATATTAAATTTACTATGTTTTATGTTTTTATAATTCTTTTTCCTCTCGTTACAGAGTGGTGTCAAGTTTATTGCGAGTCCTGCTGGTTCCACAAACGACGCAGCAGTAATCGATGCTTGTGACGAACACGGAATAGTGCTGGCTCACACCGGTTTTCGATTGTTCCATCATTAAATCTAAAATAGAATTTTATACATTGTTAGTATTTTTATACGATGTATCGAGTCGAAAGATTTCTTCCAATTAATGTTACAGCTTTTCAATATGAAAAGAGCGACAACATAAAAGCTATTTTTGTACCGCTTTTTTTACTTCTAATGTATATTAAGCTTTATATGCGCAGTTACATGTAAAATGTTGAATATAAATGTTTACATGCATACAATGTTGTAGCTGTGATCTATCGAAAAATTTTTATCTCGCATATACTTTGACTTTAGTTCAGTTAAAGTAGTTATATCAGTTTATTTCTAATATCTTCAAATGATCAGATTAAATAACTATGAGTTTCGTAAGTTACTCGATTCTACTGACGTCAATCAATTTCCATTTTTTCCCCATTCTTTTGAATGCTCGAAAAATGGAAAGAAACTATTTATAAGCACTAAATATCTTGAGAATGCAAATATGTTGTACATATTACTAATAATTTGTACAATATTTTGTAATTTTTAAATATGTAATGAAGTGTGCATTATTGATAAAAAAGTTGTTTTCTAACTATCCCTCCATATCCTATTTCCACACACAAAATAAACGGAAATTATAAAAATTGCAATTAAAAAAATTTTAGCACAAAAATCTAAATCCATAAAAAATCTATAATTAGTATCAAGAGAATATAATCGATGAGAAAGTAGCACTATCTAAAATTCCAAGAATTTCATTAATATTATCCAGAATTTTTTCTTTCCAACAATTTTCTTAATTTCCAAGAATTTTATCAACTTCCAAGAATTTTATCAACATAAATTTTTTCATTTTTTTAGAATTTATTGACATAAAGAATTTTGTAAATTTTTGAGAATTTTATTAACATGAATTTTTCAATTCTTGAGTTTATCAACATAAAGAATTTTCTTTTCTTGATTTATCAACATAAGAATTTTTAATTTCTGATTTATCAACATCAAAAATTTTCAATTTTCAAGATTAAGGAATCTTAAATAATTTAATCTGTACAGTAACATAATGTTAAAATACTCAGTAATTCTAAACTCTCCCATTCTCAATTCTCAATTCCCAATTCTCATTCTCAATTCCCAATTCTCAATTCTCAATTCCCAATTCCCAATTCTCAATTCTCAATTCCCAATTCTCAATTCCCAATTCCCAATACTCAATTCTCAATTCCCAATTCTCAATTCTCATTTCTCAATTCCCAATTCTCAATTCTCAATTCCCAATTCTCAATTCTCAATTCCAAAAATTTGATTGGCTGTCCTATTTTTCGGCCGCCATTATGCGCAATGGCCGCGTTCAGCAGACACAACTGTTGAGTTCGCCTTATCAACACTCTGCGCTGATTGGTTGGTTCTAAAAGTAAGAGCCAATCACATTCGACTGCGACTCAGCGGCTTGGTCTGCTGAACGCGACTAATGTACATACCTATCTTTTTACATCGAAGATCAAAGGACTCAAAGGTGCAAAGACTTTCCTCTCTTTGTCGCTCGTCATGTCGATGTACGGCTTTGCGGCGTTCGGTACCCCGCCAAAGTTTTTATTTACAGAAATATTAATTACAATAATAGCGTGATTTATACAAATTTAGAGAGAAGCAAGTCGAGTGATCATGGACGAAGTCGATAACGCCCAGATAATTGTTAGTAAAATATCTACGTACAACGCTATTTACAAATTCGACCAGATACACAAATATGTCACTGACAGTCACAATTTTTTAATACAAAATTAAACGACGTTACATCGTCAAATTATCGTGTAAGTTTACTATCACGTGCAAATTTACTTAGATTATCCGTAATCAATGTTTTACGAATTGTCTGTGAGTTTATTTATGCATCTGGTCTATTTACAAATCTGTACAAATTTGGCTTTAAAACTTAATTGCGTGTCAGAAGTGTTATTTTTTATTACTACAGATATTGGAGGAAATCGGGGAACTTTTATAATTTCATTTTATGATCCTTTTTACTTGCTGAATAACAAACTCCTTGGGTTTTGCAGGTTATCGCGGACGATGTCTGCAGCAGAGCGGGTATCGCGACAACTTGGATCAATAGCAACAGATTCGGGATACACGCGTACAAACATGTGGACAAATCTTCGCCAGGTTGCCAAATAATATAAATATGCAAAAATCATATATTACAGATCTATATTTCTTGATGTATATGAGCTAGAAATAATGTAAACTGCTATTTTGCTAAATCAACAATTTCTTTTAGATGCCAAAAGTAAATTTGCGCCTTGCGATGCCAAAGTACATTTTCTCCGACCGGAAATCATATTATTCTCACCGCTTTTGCGTAAGCTGGTTAACGAGAGCAACGGTATCTTTCTGTCGGTTCAGAAGCTCAAGTCTTCCTCTTCCGGTGACATTAGGCCGGAGCTTCTTAAGCACAGCAAACAATATAGGTCTATATTGAGAGCCTGCGTGGAAAACTTGCAAGAGATACTACCGAAGGAGCCGTTATCGGAAGAGAAGACGATGCTGGAAAATTTTCTCACTATCTTTTACCAGGTGGAATGCGTCTGGCATTTAACGGAAATTCTCTACGTCGACGTTGTACCAGGTAACGTAAATTAAAAATATAAACGTGAAGTATAATCTACGAAATAATACAGAAATATAAATGTAAATACAAATATTATGTTAGAAAAGCTTCTTTTTGTTTTAAGTACATGGAATCTTTTTTTTTTTTAAACGGTGTTTGCGCCTTGTTTATCAGGCGACGTTGTGCTACCGCAATTATTGGAGTGGATCAGCTTTCATTTTCCCTCGAGAGAACTCGCGGCGTCAAAAATTTTGTCGCAGAAGACGATCGGTGCGGATTTAGAAAATCCGAATTATTGGGAGGCTGTGATGGGCTGTGCGTTCCACGGTAAATTAAATATAGTTTGCCGCCTCCTGGCGATGCACAGCAAAGCGGACCATTCGGCGTTCGTTACTGCGGACAATATTATTAGAACAATGCCCGTGTACAATGTATACGGCGGATATTCTGTAAACGAATTTATTATGCGATGGAAGCACTGGCAAATGGATCTTTGCTCAAATCTAGAGACCAACTACTTCGTTATAGATAGCAATTTGGAGATGCTTATGAAGGTAAAGGAATATTAATGGTTTTTCTCTATTTTCAACGTGAAAGGTAATATTTTGGCTTTGCAGTTGATATCGGGAGACGAATCGGTATTGTGGGAATATTCCATGTATACGGAAGCGTGGTACGAATTATTGGCAGCGAAGTTATTTTATTCAGCTCCCTGCTGCAAACAGATGGAACTTTCGCGCTACGCAAACAGCGTGGTCGAAAGATGGCAAGCTAACAGACATCTAGATCGTGTAATCCTTGCTTTAATGGAAAATGATTTGTATCAGGTTATCAAAGAGATACAATATATGAGCGATAACGGCTGGTTCGCAGCCCACCTGATGGACCTGTTGTACAAGTGTGGAAAATTAAACATTTTCAGCAAAGAAAAGACCAAGTGGGTAGAAATGCAAGTTGAGAAATAATTATAATTATCAGTGAATTAAACTATCTTGTTACAGCGTGACTGCCCAGCTTCATGAATCCCTCATATTGGAGTACGGCACTACATTGATGAGCCAGCGTTCATTGTGGCAGTGCGGCGCGAGTTACTTGATACATTGCCCCACGCAAGGTTTAGCTAGGCTGGAGATCCTGTTGCAGTCGCTACCAACGGGCACGGAGGCGAGAATCAACAAAATCATTGACGTCGCGCGGGACAATAATATGCCGCACGTTGGTAAAATTCGACCTCTCTCTATCTCTTTCTCTTTGTCTCTCTTGGCTCGAAGAGATTTATAATAACTAAAAAAAAAGATTCTTAGTCACTAGCATATGCAAGATCCAAGGAATGAGGAGCATAAGACAGGGGAGATTGGGCAACGCTCTTACGTGGGCGCTCAAGGCACACGACGGCAATTTCACCACGTACATCGCGGACCAATTTTTGAAGCATTACGCGGAATACGGGGAATTGGAATGTCGCGATCTGCTCGAGAACTTGGGCTCCTGCATGTTGGCCAGCGACAGACTCACATTTTTAGGTAAAAGAGTTATATATGTAATCGCCAACGAGAATGAATAATGATAAATATTTCTCTAATGTATAACAATGTAATTATTTGTCGTCACACATAAATCGTATATTGTAATTGATATAAAATTTTATAGGCAAATATTGTGAGTTTCATCATGTGTACGGAATGGACGAACATCGCGAAGCGGCAAGCCTATTGGTGTCCCTTCTAGTTTCGAATTTGACGCCGAAGTAGTAAGTTGTTCGTTTTAAGGATATTTACGATTATACATGAAACTCGCAATTTAATTCGTAAATTTTTGTTTCTCAGTTTTTGGTCCATTTTGCTCACGGACGCTATACCGCTGTTGGAAGCGGAAGACGTGATCTTTTCGTCCAACGATTGCTACGAGTTACTACGTTGCGTAGAGGCTCATGGGGACGATCCGAAATTTCAAGACAAGGTTACCGCCTTCCGACTAGCCGTTGCACGAAATCTCGCACGAGCTTTAAGTTTAGAAGGCTGCCAGGCCGATCATTGACCGCATTCACTGTTGTATTATCTATTGTATAGTGATATCTCCAGTATCTTCCTTTAATAAATTGTAACTAAATTTACAAATACATTTTCTAATTATACGATCTTTTTTCTAATTGAGTCAGTTATTTTTTATCCCATACGCTGTGTGTTATTATTTACAAGAAAAAGAAAATGTTCAAGCTACACTACAAATATATATGAAATCGAGCATTTGCGAAATACGATATTTTTACTAAATATACTGTCGTAAGAATGAAAAATATTGGTATTTTTGGAAAATATGTTTAATAAAAATTTACAAGTAGTTAAATGCAAAGAAAAGAAACAAGATAAATTGATAAATCAAACACTTGTTTTTTTATTTAATTTATAGATATAAATTTTATTCGATTTTACAATTTATATTTAATGTTTATATTTCTTTCACTCTTCCTAAAATTTAAAAAATCAATTATATATTTATACCAATATAATAATACGTTCATCCTATTTATAATTAATATATCTTTGAAAATATTTTGTAGAAAAGATAAGAACATCTGTTTTTAATATTTTATAACATTGAGATTTATTATTTTAAGTATAATTTCATTTTATGGCAACTAAAATATGAATGTAAATCGAAAGAAACTTTAAAAACAGGTGATTTGTCTGGTCTTGAACATATTTGCACCTTCTACGTTCTATATCTTCTTCTCGCACTAAAAGCTACTCGTTTTAAATGCAGAAAGTGCAGACGAAAGGAGCAAACCTAATCTCCCACCACGCTTCCGTTTGTTTACGTCGTGTGAGTCGGTTTGCACGTGTCTGCACATGGCTCGCACCGATTATCCTCCCGCATCTCGTAAGCAAAGATTTCGTTAATTGTCCTATTTGCCGAGATGCTGTTCTATTTACGCTACATCTATATTCGTAATCGTCACGGCATGATATTCATTGCAGAACATGTTTTCCATCACTTTGGTAAATATTGACAGTTATCAGACGTCCCCGGTACCCGAGCTGGACGTGACATTCTCGGAGTTCCGTGGCTCCGAAGTGAAAAAGGTACCGATAATCAGAGCGTTCGGATCAACTGCCACGGGTGAGTCAAAGGCTGCGGTCCACTTGACGCTACAAATGCTTCGAAGCATTCCTCTTCTCTTTTCTTTCAATGAAGAAAGAAGGAGAACGCTCTAAAGCATTTGTAGCGTCAAGTGGACCGCAGCCAAAGTAGCATAACTTTGTCATGTTTCCTGATATGCTGGTTACGCTGCAGATTCATGTTAAAATGAGTATTATCAAAGAGTCTTGCTCCACATAAAGTCTGAGGATTTTTTCAGGCAAGAAGACATGCTTGCACATTCACGGTGTCTTTCCGTACATGTATGTCGCGTGCACTGTTCGGGAGAATACGGATAGCTATGCTTATCAACTGGCTGCGGCGATCGATTCTGCGCTGAACACATCCTTCGGTTCAGCTTTGTCCAGCAGCCAACACGTCTACAAGATCCAGCGAGTGTCGGGAATGTAAGGAAAGTTTAACTGGAAATTGCGACGGATGATTAGTAATCTTATTTTTAACATAGGAGAGTATTGTACATTGTATTTATTAGATGCGTAATGTATAATCGCTTTTGCAGACCTTTCTACGGTTATCACGAGAAGGAACACTTGTTTTTTAAAATATATTTTTATAATCCAGCCATAATTAAAAGGACAGCGGATTTGCTGCAGGTAAATAGTTCTGTTTTTCTGCCTTTTTTTGCACACGAGACATAATCGTGCAATACTGTGTGCCGTTTTAAGGGGGTAAGAATGGAACAACGAAATGAATTTATTTCGTTCTTTTCAGAATGGTGCTGTTCTCAATCAAACTCTGCAGCCGTACGAGGCACACATCCCATATATTCTGCAATTCATGATAGATTACAATCTCTATGGCATGAATTTAATAAATTTGAACAGCGTAAAGTACAGGCACCCTTTGCAAGGATGCGCAAGAGAAGACAGCCAAAGCAGATCTACAATGGATTTGCTAGACACGCAAACGTACCTTCCGATATCCGTAACGAGACAAAGCATGTGCGAGTTGGAAGTGGACGTGCACGCTTCAGAGATTCTGAACGGGCAAGGTGTCACCAAAAATATGGAGCTGAATCCTGGTCTTGCCGCGATCTGGGACGAGGAGAAAGCAAGGAGGGCCGAAGCTGGTCTAGAAGACGCAAAGTCGCAATTATTATATCCCAAAACTCCCAGCAAAATTATTTTACCTCCAACGAGTAGTGATCTTTTTCAAGAGGGCCAATTATTGAAAAGACTGAACGCTATATCACAAGTATTCCATTGTACCATTGTTTGGATTATG